TGGTAAGTAGAAAATTATATCAAGGATAAGTTAGATCCCAATTATCCAGAGCTTTAAGTTGTATAGGACATAAAAAGTAGAATTATCTGATAGCAATCCTGGTTCTTTCGACACGTGTCCAAATAAGTTGTCCATTCTTACGGAACTTTTTCTTTGTGTTTTTTCCAACAGATGACAATAAAATACCATCTATATCAACAAATGGTAAGAAACCTGCCTAGTACTTACAGGCCGTTGAAGGAAAGCCCCCAAAAAGAGTTATTGGCTGCTGTGGGGCAGAAGGGCAGATCCATTTAATCTGCAGAAATAAAACTCTTCACACTATAGCACCCAGAGAGAGAGAGAGAGAAGAAGAAGAAGAAGAAGAAACTCAAAAAAATGAGAGAGACAGCGAAAGAGAGATTGACACATTCCAGAATCTGTGCTTTGTCTTTTCTCCGAGTATGTGGTTAGAGTCATGAATTAAAGGTTTTTGGCAAATGAAATTCCACAGAGATATAAATACTTACATTTGGAAGAGGAAGTGACTCCAACAGAGTTGACCAGCTGTGAGAAACCATCAAATTTGATTACATGATTATTCAAGTTACCACTGTAAAGTTTTGGACATATATCACATTCCAATCAGCTACTGTACACTAGATAGACTTGAATAAAACAGCAAACCTCCTAAAACCTGACATGGACATAACCCACTACCATCAGAAAAATACATACTAGACAGCACTTTTTAATATCACTACAGCGATTGTCAACCCAACCATTTATCTGAAGAAACTGCCTTTAGTAACATTTTTTCTTCCTTCAGTTAAAGAAGGAAGCATCGAAGATTATCAAATAACAGATTTTACGTTGAACCTCAATCTCTAATAGCCTTCCAACCCACAACCCGCCTCACAGAAAAAAAATATGCAAGCCAAGATTGACATGTGACCTTCCTTTAGTATAAAATTTCAGATGTAAGTGGCAAGGGGTTGCATTATGTTCAAACAGTTGGGATTAGGATAATAACTGAAACAAACTGCATATAGAAAGCAACTAATGCGGAAACAACTAAATTAAAATAGATACTCTAATCATCAGCAACTCTAACCAAAAGCTCAACCGAAATGATATACGCGAAGGAATATGTACGAAGGAAGCCAAATGACATTACCTAGAGCCATTATCTCCAAGACCGTGCAGCCAAACTATTGTTGCCTGGTGTTTGCCTTTTGGCCTGACAACATAAGTCCTTCCAAAATTAAAGGCCCTTGTAACAGTTCTACCACCTGTGGAAATTAAAGCACATTTGAATAAATTTATACAGAAAGACAAGCACAACCTCACATGATAGCAAACAAAATCAAACTGTATTTCTCAACTTCTTTGCTAAGAAGAAAGGGAATGAAATAGTTATATGCCCAATATGTTTTCCTCATACAGCTAAACAACTTCAACTAAACTACTTGTCTGGGCCCTATAGTCTTTTTCCTTGCTGTACTAGGTATTAGATAATCAAAGATAAAAATTCACATCATCCGATAAGGCCCTTGGTACTATAGGTGACCATACTAGAGATTCAATTAATGCATCAGCAGCAGGAGCAATAAAGATTAATTCAATTGAGAGGAAGTGATACAGATAAAGAAACTAACTAGCACCCGCAGAAGGGCCAGTAAAACTCATATTCCTTCCGATACAGGTGCCTGCTAGTTTTTGTCTTGAAAACCGTGCCTGCAGCGAGAGATCAAGCTCAGTCATATATAGCTTTAGAAAGTAATGGAATAACAGCAATATTTTTGGATGCATAGAGGCCAATATGACCAAATGAAATGCTGTAATAAGTACGCAGAACCTAAAGCCAACTGCCCTAACTAACTTATTTTCAGTAAATTTAAATCCAAACTTCATAAGCTTATACCCCCCCCCCCAACAAAAGTTTTACAGTGCAAATGTGAAATCCAAGAGATAACCTGACCCAACTAGCCGTACATAGTTTTAGCATAAAATTAGAACAGAGAAATTTTCAAGGCATTAGGGGCTAAAAAGAAAGAAAGAAAGAATGAACAGGAAAGGCAACCAAAGCAAAAGGGCTTATTCTAGACTAAGAAATGTTTTATTAGTCAATTACCATCCTATTGTCCATGATTTAGGTGCAGTCTTCGTAATGCAGAAAATGGATAAGCTCATCAAAGAAGTACATAACAATTAAAAGCTGTGATTTGTTTGTACCATAAATTCCCAGAAAACCCATCTAAAAAATCTATATTGAAGATGGGACGGGGAACAAACAGAAAAAATCGGTAATCACAAATTGATAAATCTGGACCTGATAAACCCCACTTCAGCAACTCCTTCAACCAGCCTAAACAAAGATATTAAGTAATACTCTTTCCCAGGAAGGTCACAAGAATGAGCCATTTACGTTAGAAAAGAAAATAGAAAAAGTAAACGAAAAAGAAAAAGAATGAACTATGATAAAATTGCAGATAAACAAACAATTAAAAAGTCAACTTGGAAGATGGCAAACACTAAAGACAACAATTAGATAAGCTTCGTTTGCGTATGTGGTGTCAATCAGTGAATTCTTTGACATCCGGTACAAACCAAATCTTGATAAAACAAAGCTAAGATGCAATTGTTAGACAGGGCAGGGACGGAAAGGGCAGCCATAGTTACCAAAAGCGTCGAGAGAGAAGGCACAGGAAGGAGTCGTCCTGAGACTGAGAGGAGATGAAATAACGCTCGGCGGAAGACGGACAAGACTCCCACATAAATGCTCACCAAAAAAATTTTTATACAAAAAAATTTAAAAAAAAAATTTGTTAGTGTTTATGTGGTAAATCAGCCATGTTAATCGTTTGTATCGCCCATTCTATATATATTTAAAAGAGAGAGAGAGAGAGACAGAGACAGAGATGGTATTGGGTTTAGGCCTCACAGTTGGGCTGTGATTTAAGGAGTCAAAATAAAATATCCAGAGTCACAGCATCTTTGGCCCGGGAAGAGATTGAACTGGGCCAAACTCAGATTCTTTTTCAATCTGTGAGAAAATGATGGTAACATGATAGGTTATATTCAATTGTCATTACGACCTTAGGTAAACAATCATTACTTGCCTATTGTTCTGCTCTCCCCGCATAAGATTTAGTGTCTCCCTACAACACAAAACCAAAAATTGGTTAATGATTTTTCATCAAATATATTAACAACAAAAAAAATAATTTTTTTTTTTAAAATTCACCACCATTGCTCACTACGTATAACCAAAACTAGAAAGTAATTATGGAAATAATGATATTCGCACTCCGAAAATAATTATCTAGCACTTCACCTTCCTTCACATGATAAAATGTTAGAGTTAAGTACAAGAAACTATTTTTAGAATGCAAATATTACTTGCAATAATTTAGGCCTTGTTTGGACAGCAATTTTTCAAATAAAAAATGCTACGTTTTCCATGAACACATTTTCAAATCATTTTTTTACCTCACATATATCAAATCGTTACAGTAATTTTTCTACGAAAATCCAGAAAAATACAATCCAAACAAGACCTTAATTAGGCTTCATTTATTTTTGGCACATATTCAACAAATTATTCAATTCCGCCTACTGTTCAATCCAAGCTCAACCACATCAAAATTCATGAAAGATGTGCCACGTTTGAAAGTATAGTTGAAAGATGAACCAAACAACTCGATATTGTTTGAATTTGATTTGACAACTAGTTAATTCAAACTCGAACAATGTTTTATGTTCCATAATTTTTAAATTTGATAAAAAAAAAATTCGTTTAAAATAGGTTCGACAAATAAACAAGTCAAATTTGAACAAAATTTCAAATTCGTTAAAATAATCAAATAAGTTTGAATATCAAGATGCTGGATATGATTAAACTTGTCTACGCTTCTAACTCGAAGTGCTTGTCTAAAATCAGGCCTGCTTGGCTTCTCAATTTTTCTTCTTCTATTTCCATGAATATTTAGGAAATTATAATGCATGTTTCTACTTTCTACTGCCTTTGTCTAGTATTTACTTTCCCTCGCATCGTAAGTCAACATTCTCAATGGCTTTGAAAATATGCGCATTAACCCAAAAAGCTAAATTCAAGAGCACTCATCAGGTTAATTCTATTTTTATCGTCCTCATTTCTTTTACTTCAGAGAATTTAAGGTAAAAAAAAAAAAAAAGATTAGAATCGGTCGTGGAGGCTGCATTCAAAGTCAAAAAGAGGAGGAGGAAGACAACACGAAGGGCCACAATTTTTTTTTTCCTTTTTTCTTTTTCTCCATTTGTTTACGCTTGAGGAATGCAAAGTGGAAAAAAGTTGACAATTAAGTTCCGCTTTCCTGAACACTAGTATGTATTGTGCATGCATGCAATTAACTTATAAAATATTTTTATAAAAATTACTTTGATGCTAAATAATAAAAGAAGACTTTAAGAAGAAGAAAGAAATCACAACTTAGAAATATTTTTACGGATAATAGTTTGCAATTGTGAATTGGAGTGGCTCATGATTATTTATTTATTTATTTATTTGGATTAGCATGTCTCATCATCTACAATTTATCATCCCTCTTCTACTAATTTATTAAATTTGACATGTTTTCAAGTTACCCGCACAAACCCAGAATAGAAAAATGCAAATTGTTTTTTTTTTTTTATATATATATAACACAAAGCTCACAGCCAAGCCTGCAAGATGGAAATTTTGACTTGTTCATGTTGGGAGCTTTGTGTAAAAAAACATACCCTATCCTTCTTATTAATTTACTTGATAAGACTACAGTTCTTATTCTTTAACATTTCAATGCTGTTATTCTACTTCTATGAAGAAGACTACTAGTTGATATCAATTGAAAATATACACACTGCTGTTTTCAGAAAAAAATAAAATAGTATTATATAAATGCTTGCCAATGAGATGGTTTTTTATTGTCTAATAAAACCATCGTAGACTTGATAGTCAACTCTTGCGGTCTTGCCCCTGCACTGCAGAAAGGAAAAACTACTTGCAACACTAAAATCAATTGGGGATCACATCATACCAATACCATATGGAGGTAAACACCAGACCAAATAGCAATCCTCGGCATGAACTTTTCTTAGTTACAAGTCAAATCAGAGAATTGTTTCGTTTTATCGTCCATTTTTTACACCGGAGTCCGACAGTAAGTGCACGACGATGAATGATCATATAAAATTTGTACCTCTTCAAGAACTGGAGCAAGTAAAGTACACTATACTCGGTCAAATGATGGCCTGAATCCCAAAAAAAAAAAAAGGTGCAAGTATACGTATTCAGAGCGTCTGTCAATGCACTTCACACGAAAAAAGATGCCTGTGTCAATGAATCTGTGTAAAGAAAGTAAAAGGAACCAGCTGCGGCAAGATTCAGTAGCGTTATCGTCCTGAAAGAACTGATATTGAAAAAGAATAGCCCGCTGTTGATGGGATGATTGCATTATCCATTGCAGCAAAAAGCCTGCCACGGTCAGGCGTCGTTGACTCTCCATCTTCAGCTGATAACAAGTCAGCAATGAGAAATTGGGTATTTTCAGGCGGCTCATCCACGGGAACTCGGCCTTCCAGCATTTCCACCACAAGCCCCATACTCGGCCTGACCTTAGGCTTATCCTGAATACACCACAATGCTATGCAAACCAATCTCTTCACCTGCCTCTCATCTATTCCTCCTGCTAGCACCAATCTCCGGTCAACTATCTCCATCAGCTTCCCTTCTCTCAGTTTCTCAATCGCAATTTTCGCAAAACACTCAAACTTTTTCTTCCTTCTCTCGTTTTCGTCCTCAATCGTGCAAACACTTCTTCGCCCTCCAATAATCTCCAGCAGCACCATGCCGAAACCATAAACATCGCATTTTTCAGATACTCCATTCTCCAAGATCCATTCCGGGGCCAGATAGCCTCTGGTTCCCCGAATCGTCGTGACAATTCTGCTTTCTTCTTTTCCCATTAGCTTCGAGAGTCCAAAATCGCACACGAGTGCCCGATAGCTCTCGTCGAGGAGTATATTCTCCGGCTTCACATCGAGATGCAAAATGCAAGACCTGCAATCATGGTGTAGATAAGAAAGTGCCCTCGCTACATCAAGTGCAACTCTACACCTCATGTCCCAAGACAAACAACCACCCCGCCGGCCGTGAGTTTCCCTCCTTGGAAATATCCAATTATCCAATGATCCGTTGTACACAAACTCGTAGACGAGAAAACGGGGCCCTGATGGTACGCTACAATAGCCAAGAAGTCGAAGAAGATTTACATGCTGGATACTGGCAATAGCTGCAACTTCTGATCTGAACTCCTTTTCGCCCTTGTCGTCTCCAACAATCCTCTTCACCGCGACCGGGGTACCATCATTCAAGATTCCTTTGAACACGGAAGCTGACGCCCCCTGTCCTAATAGTGCTCGAAAACCATCCGTTGCTTCTTCAAGTTCCTTGTACCTGAACTTAGTTGGAACTCCAGCTACTTTCCTGAGAAAACTGTACTCAATTCGTAGCTCCCGCCCCTCTGATACAAGCTGGGTTTCCAACAGTTTTCTCCGGTTATTGTATCTTCTTCTGATTACAAGAAACGAAAAAACAGCAAGGATGGCCGCAATATTAGCTCCACACACTAAGAAAAATGTCTTGGACAGCTTTAATGAGATACGAGCAACGACGATAGTGATGGTGAGAACGGAAACCAACGAAACAGCAATTATGTATGCTTTTCTGTCCTCCATTGTTGATCTACTGAGTAAAGAGAAGAGGTCAAGATTCTCATGCTGTCAATTTCAGGCTTTGCTATTGAATTTTGATGCTCCTCCACTACTTAATCCTTACTCTTTGTTAAAATTTAAAAAAAAAAAAAGGGGTGGGCAGGAAGGAAATTCATGTCCGGGAGGAGGACTAGGAATAGTAATTAACGCATTTCATAGGAAATTAAAGACCAGTCTCCCCCCAATCTCCATCAATCTTTAACTTGGGTTGGGGCCCAAACCGCAGCATTCCCTTAATTACACGGTTTGAAAGGGCAAGTCATGCACCTACTTCGGCTCCCATGATCCCATCCCATGCTGATAAACACATTACCAGTCTTCTATTCTATGAACGTACGTATGCGAAATACTTACGTGTGTGAACTGTGGAACTTTATAGTGTATCCAATCAAAATATATTAGTCAACCTCTTTAGCAGCAATAAATTGAAGTGTGGCAAACGAAACTGCCTAGAAGTGGAAGTAAACGAAAGTAACTGAATGGAGAGGAATATGAGGATTAGCCTGTCTGCCTTTGAATTAATTTGGACTTTGGCGAGAGGAGATTGGAGAAGAAAGAAAATGGAAGTAATCAAATAGAAAAAAAAATAAATAAAAGGGCGGACCTTGGTTTAAAAATGAATAGAAACCATAATCTGAAAGTTGGGAAGAAGTAAAAGACAAAAGAATCGATCATTTCTTTCAATTTTTTTTTTTAAATTGATCAGGTCTAATGAAATGAGTAGAGTATCATTCCGTCTTTTTTTTTTTTTTTTGTGGTTGGAATATTTTTCCCCTCTACAATGCGCAGACATTTCTTTTTAATCACTTAAAATTGATATTGGCCCTATGGAGACTAGTAAATACTACATGGATGGAGTTCATGCTACAATAGGACCAACATATAATAGCGTTTCACTTTTCATTTTTTATGTTCACCTTTTATCACAAGAATTCCAGGGTTTTTTTATATTCGCCATCCTTTTTCGACCAATTACATAAATTTTGTGGACAGCGACGCAGGAGGAGTGCAAAACAAACATATATATGGGTGCGTGATGTAACGAAGCCATGGTATTGAGTATTGACCGCTTGAGAAAGTCACCAAACGGCATTGGTTTATTCACCTCTTTGAATCTGTGGTGACGACAAATATGGATTATTAATTCAACCGTTTCGTAATACCCAAAAAAAAAAAAAAAAGAAGAAGAAGAAGAAAGAGAATGAGGGTCATTTTATATGTTTATCCGTAGGAATCAAAATTTGTGAGTGAAAAAAATAAAAATAAAGAAAGTTTAATTTGCTAATTTAGTCGATTTAGCAAGACTCGGAAGAAGTCAACCAATCAGTTAATATTTTTTGGGATTAAAAAAACAATTTATATTACTCCTATACTATAGAAATTAGAAAAGGAAAAGTTCAATTAGACTTGTAAGAGGGTTGGAATGTAAACTTTCAGTTCAATGCCGGAAAGTTCCGTTGTATCATATTTATTACCATATGAGGGAGGGTTCAAAATGTCAAAACGAGAAGTTGCTCGATACTCAGTGAGTCAGTGTCTTCCCTTCATTTGTATTCACCGCTTTCTCACTGGTTGAGATATCTAATATGACTTCTCGTTCTTGATTGGTTGGGTACAGTTTTGACGGCAGAAAACCACATGGCCTGTAGGCTGTAGCTTATAAATGATAGTAAAATTCTAGCAAAGTTGCAACTTCGATGCTTCATAGGTTTGTTCCTCTTGTTAATTTTGAACATGTCATTTAGGCAGGCGACTGTCATTCATGCACCTAACTTCTGCTTTATTTATCATCTTTTGTCATTTGGGTAATTCTAAAGCTGTAGACAAATTTCTGTTACCCTTTAATTTATCTATAAATTTTTTTTTGTCGCAACGATGGGAAGGGGAAGGGATTCGATGTGAGTACAGACTCCATCGATGAAGATCAATTAAGACAGGATTGAACCCCTGACCTCCAACATTACCTTTAATGATCGGTGGTGATGACCACCGGACCAAATGGCCAGTGACCTTTAATTTATCTATAGGGCAATAAAAATTCTACGAATTAAGAAACAAAAGGTGAAAAGGAATGTGAACACATCACTACTTTCTCAAAGGTCCCATGAAAATATCCTGTCTTGTCATGTGAGAAGAACTCGTACTTTCTCTATGGGGTAATCATTTCACACCACCTTCTCTTCTCTTTTCTAATATTTGGTTTCACATCACTTTTATGCCTAGTTTGGGAGATGAGATTTGAGCAGAAAAGAAAAGAAGGGAAGAGAAATGTAGCATTTCCCACGTTTGACAGTTTTAACTGAAATAGAAAGGAAGAGAATCTGACAGATTTGGAAGGAAAAAGAGGCTGCTACAGTTTAAAAAAATTTCCAGCCCAAATCGGGCGGAAAGTAGAGAAAAGCTAAGGAAAGGCTGCAAAAAATTTTTAGATTACCCATTCTATCCTTAAAAAGCTATTGAATGAAATATTTATTGACCAATGTATCCAAAATCACCTCCTTTCTTTCGTAAACTCCCAAACAACACTAAAATCTCTTCTTTTCTTTTCTTATCCTTTCTTTTCTCTTATAACTTAACCTTTCTCTTCTTTTCTTTTCTATCCTCAACTCACAAACTAGCTAGAGAGACAAATTTGGTAGGTCTGATCCTTAAAATGAAGTTGACTTCGTACACATGGTGGCAAGAAGGTTGAGCCGTTTCTCTCCACTTGTAATTCTTTATTAGTTTCCTCGAGCGGAAGAAGGGAGGAAAAAAAAAGGGGGGTAGAAAATCTTTCAGAAAAAAGACAAATAGCTTTTAGGATGCGATAGTCGGATCTTGGACTTGTACCAATATATTGAGGCCCAAATCCAACATCCCCTTACTCTAAGATGTGGCCCATTTAAGAATGCCACACTGGATCTCACACTAGTTAGATTGATTTACAGGAATCTGTTGGGTGTATTTGGATTGGAGATTATCCGAACAAAATTATTTAGAATAATGCTCTAATATTTTTATTATATAATGTATGTGAGGTAGTTTGATGATTGGAAATTGTGTTTATAATACAAGTTAAATAATATTTAAACTTTTTTACAAATTATGCTATATAAATTGTTGCCCTTGTCTTTCATATAAATTGTTACAAAACAACATAAAAGTGCTTGTCCTGATAAAACATTTCTGTTTGAATTAGCTGTTTTTTTGAGTATTTTTTAAATTTTTTATTGTAGCAGTGTATATGAAAAGCTTTTACTATAGATTTTTTGTGATATTTTTGAAATATATTTGGGGATACGTTTTAAAATTAAAATATTTTTAAGGTCCTTTTTTAAAATTAATACTGACACCCACAATCACAACCACCACCCCTCCCTTTTCTCCTTCCTTCTTCCTCTACCCCTCAGATTGAGGGGGGAGGGGAGGGCTGTGGGGGGTAGAGGATGGGAGGAGGAGGAAGAGAGGGAAAGAGGGAGGGCAAGGAGGCGGTGATGATGATAGGTTGAAAATGTTGTGGAATTTATTTTTTTAATTTTTTGTGTATATTTGTGAGTTGCTTTTGATATATTATATGGATAACATATTTTTTGAATTGTTTTTTCTTATATATTATTGCAACATTGTATTTGAAATTTTTTTTTTTGAAAGTAGGTCAATCCAAACTGATTCTTTTTGTCGTATCATTACGACATTATCTATGTAAAGCTTTCTAGGTTTATTTCTCGACATTTTTCAGTTCAAAATAAAGCAAATGTAAATGAAACCTATCTCAATTGAAATTAATTTCAAATGTAAGAAACGTTTTGAATGATTTTTTCTTTTGATAAATTACATATTTTGGGATCAATGGGTAACATTAACACTACTTCTGTATTAACCTAAGCTAGATTGAATTTCTATGCTCTATTAAAAATCGTTATGCATTATTTGAAGAATTCGACTGTATACTACAGGTTTCGAATACACATTGAAGCCTATAAAATGCAGCTAAGTAAATAAAACACTCCCGTGTATAACGCACATCAAAAGGCAAATATAGACACTTTTTAAACTTTTTTTTTTTAAGTAGCGACAGATATAAAAATAAGTTATTTAAACAAACAAATTATACTTTTTTTTTGTCAAAAGAAACAAACAAATTAATAGGTTCACTAAAACTTGACCGTCAAACTTTCGGTAAACAAATTAAGAAAAACGTACAACTTTTTTCACGACGAAAGAAAAGCGTGGGGATTAATTTAAGTAAACCCGAATTTACCAGAAAAGGTAAAAGAGAAAAACAAATTGTACACTACACAAAAGTTTTAGAAATTACTGCAACTTATGCAGTAGTTTATAATTATACTGCTTCCCTCCCAACAAGGAGCTAGTATTAATAGCGGGGGAGCTGCCCTAGCATACGGAGTAGTAAATTCTCTGTACCCTCCGTCTCCCAGGCTTATACCTGCCGAGAAGGATGAGTAACTCGGTTAACGGAGTAGGCGGTAGCAACCGTGCCACCACCTCCGTAAACGGCGGAGGCGGCCCCGCCGTGGACAAGGGCGTGGATTACGCCAACTACTTCTGCACCTACGCCTTTCTGTACCACCAGAAAGAGATGCTGTCCGACCGAGTTCGCATGGACGCTTACTTCAATGCTGTTTTTGAGAACAAACACCACTTCCACGGAAAGGTATGACTGTGTTCAAGCCCCTATTTCTCTTCTTTCTCCGCCTCTTGTATGCATTATATGCTTTTTTTTTGGTATTATTAAGCTTAAAGTTTGGATTTTTTTAATCCGGTATTCTCAAAGAATTTTTTTTTTTCTGGAAGGAGAGGGGTGGGAAGGAAGCAGGAGGAGGGAAATAGGACGCTTTGAATCAAGTTGTCGTTCTAAGACAAGTAACATAGACTGTATTCAATTTCTTTTTTACAAGTTTTTGATATAGTTTCATGCCGGTGGACTTGTGTACGTAAGTTGGATTAGCTTGATGGGCAAGTGATGAACTTATTTGTCAACAAATGATGGGTAAGTTTAATCAAGAAAAAGGT